ATGGATATCTCTTCCAGACCTTTTCTTTCCGTGTATTATTTATGATAATAATTAATTTCTTGTAAAGAATTTTTTTTCAAAATTTTTTAAATAATTGAATTTGTTAGAATTTTTTAAAACTTTTTGAAAATAATTGAATTCCTGTGGAATTTGTATTAAAATTTTGTTTAAATAATTGAATTCTTTTGGAAAATGTTATTAAAATAGTAGATATTAAAAATAATTGAAATGAGAAAAATTTTTTAAAATAATTGAATTCCTGTGAAAAATCTTATTTATTGAACATAATTGAATTCCGGAGAACAATATTATTATTTATGATAATAATTAATTTCTTGTGAAGAATTTTATTTAAAAACTTTTTAAATAATTGAATTTTTCAGAATTTTTAAAAACTTTTTAAAAATAATTGAATTCCTGTGAAATTTGTATTAAAATTTTGTTTAAATAATTGGATTCTTTTGGAAAATGTTATTAAAATAGTAGATATTAAAAATAATTGAAATGAGGAAAATTTTTGAAAATAATTGAATTCTTGGGAAGAATTGCATTAAAATATCTTAAATAATTGAATTGCTTCGAAGAATTTTATTTTTTACGAAGATAAAGATCAATTGATAAAGATCAATTTGCTTATTATAATTTTTTTAATTAATTGAATTCTCGAGAAAAATTTTATTATTTATATGAAAATAATAGATTTCTTGTGAAGAATTTTATTCAAATTTTTTTAAATAATTGAATTCCTTTAAAAAAATGTATTATTTGTTTAAATAATTGAAATTTTGCAAAGAATGTTATTAAATTTTTTGAAAATAATTGAATTTCAGGGGAAGATTTTTATTATTTATAAAGATAATTGAAATTTTGACGAGAATTTTTTTTTAATTTTTGAACATAATTGAATTTATTCGAAGAAGTTTATCACTTTTGAAAATAATTGAATTTCTATAATCAGTTCTTAAAATTTTTATTTAAATTCATTAAAAAAGGAAATTTTCTAAAATTTTAAATTGAAACCTTTGAAGTTCTTCTTTTTATGAAGATGGTAAACGCAACTCTTTTGAAATCCAATTAATTTTAAACTTTTTAAATAAAACTTAGGGTAGAGTGGGGTAAAAAAGCCATGGTGTAAAAAAGCCATTTGAGTTTTATTTAAAAACTATTAAGCCGATTTATCAGCTGTTTAGAATATAAATACTATTAGGTAATACGCAACTTTTGAATCTAGTTTGAATGTTGTACCTAGATTAATATTGTTTTTATTGTAATTTTAATTTTTTGTTGCTTTTTTGAAAACATTTTGGTGAACTTTTCAAACATATTACAGTCTGATTAAGTGAACGAATAATAAAAATAAATGTTTGTACATAAGGAGAAAAGTATACCGAAAACGTATACAATGTTAATTTTTGGAAATTGAACTGAATTAACAATTTATTTTTGCTTTTTTAATAACTGGTCTTAAGTGCACGGAGAAAATTTGTTCCTTACATTTTACCGAATTTTTCAATAAACTTGGGATATAGTAGCATAATCGTAATTTTTAATAATTTTTATATTATTTTTTCGGTAACAATATTTAAAATCTAATGTGATATCTTTATTCCTTAAGAACTAGTACTGTAAAAGTTGAAAAAAAATTGAAACTGAACGTTTAATGTAAATTAAATAAATACCTCCTTGATGGGCACTAACGTTTCAGGAATAGTTCGGTAAAACTTTCTTGACTTGCTTAAAGTGTTAGTTTTCAGGAATAGTTCGGTAAAACTTCCTTGACTTGCCTAAAGTTTTAGTTTTCTGGATTGAAATACTTTATTTCAAGTGTCCCGCAGTCAAATGAAAGACTTTCACACTAATAGTTGATTTTTCCAACTTATTTAGACTTAATTAATAATCATTTTATTATTATTTAAATTAAAATTCAATTATATAATTATTTTAAACACTTATTAATTGCCAAATATGTAATAAATGCTTTTAAATCATGTAAAAAGAAAATATAAAATGGCAATAACATACTTATTTTTTTAACATATAATTTATTCATTTTAATTAAATATGAATAATAGTAAGTAAGTAAGCAAGTAAACATAAGTAAGTAAGCAAAAAGGAAATAAATAATAGTAAGCAATTAAACATATAAGTAAGTAAGTAAATAAGTATGTAAGCAAGTAAGCAAAAAGGAAATAACTTGCTTGCTTACTAGCTTACTTTCTTATTTGCATACTTACTTGCTTATTTCTTTCTTGCTTACTTTGCTTACTTGCTTACCTACTTATTTGCTTACTTCCTTGTTTCCTTTTTGCTTACTTACTTCCTTATATGCTTACTTGCTTACTTTCTTATTTCCTTCTTGCTTACTTTGCTTACTTGCTTACCTACTTATTTGCTTACTTCCTAATTTCCTTCTTGCTTACTTGCTTGTTTCCTTTCTGCTTACTTACTTCCTTATATGCTTACTTGCTTACTTTCTTATTTCCTTCTTGCTTACTTTGCTTACTTGCTTATTTCTTTCTTGCTTACTTTGCTTACTTGCTTATTTCCTTCTTGCTTACTTTGCTTATTTCTTTCTTGCTTACTTTGCTTACTTGCATATTTCTTTCTTGGTTACTTTGCTTACTTGCTTACCTACTTATTTGCTTACTTCCTAATTTCCTTCTTGCTTACTTGCTTGTTTCCTTTCTGATTACTTACTTCCTTATATGCTTACTTGCTTACTTTCTTATTTCCTTCTTGCTTACTTATGCTTATTTCTTTCTTGATTACTTACTTTCTTACTTGCTTATTTCCATCTTGCTTACTTAATGCCTTATTTGCTTACTTGCTTATTTCCTTTTCGCTTTTTAATTCCTCACAATTATTATTTAATATTTCAGAAAGATTAATTTTCTATTAATAAATTTAATAATTTCCAACTTGGACTTTTAATATGTATATTTTTAATTTTAAACACAAAAATTTGAGAATAATAAGGATTTTCATAAATTATTGTTTTATTCCATTAAATACAAATTTAAACATTTTTCTTTATAATAATAAAAACATAATTTAAAAATATTTCATAAATTGACCTTGAATATAGTTAGAAATGATTCATTAATATAAATAATTTTTAATTTTGTACAACGATAGTTTATTAATTTGAATCTTTTTCACAAGCGGTGAAATAAAATTGAGATTAATATATAAGGACAGTTGAAACTTTCTGAAGCATTAATGTAAAGCGTGCGATGTGTGTATTAGTGTATGCGTTTAGAATGTACTGTAGGCAGGTGTATCAATTAGTATTTGTTCGTAAACAATTGTAGGGGGTTTAGGTAGTGATTAAAGTAGGTAGATTGAGAGTTACGGCAGTATTAATATAGATCTACTGAAGTAACATTATTTTTTATTTTTGTTCTTCAAGATTTACCGAACTTTCAGTAAATTGCAACTCGTCAGTTTTACCGAAGACTTTATCTTACGTTTTACCGAACTATTCAATAAATATGAATGTAGCGAGCACTTGGCTTACGTTTTACCGAACTGTAAGTGAAGCGCTAATACATGTATCGTGAGCTTTATGATTTTTACATTATTTTTCAATGCAATTTCTTTTACAGTCTAGTTTTTGAAAAATTACTGTTTTGACACTTCATCCCAGTTTTACCGAACTAAATTCAGTAAAATTTCAGGAATAAATTTTCTCCGTGTGTAAAAAAGCCAGGGCAAAAAATCCATTGAATATTTTGTGAAATTCACTTGTTTTCTATTTAAACTAACCTTCTTATTTTACAAAATTTCTCGTGTTTATTTAATAAAATTAATTAAATACGACGAAAAAGTAGTTCAAAGTGCATTAAAAAAATAAACAATGAATAAACGGTTGCAACGAAATATGTTATCTGTGGTGAAACTTAAAGAGAACTTCTAAAAAAGGTACGAAAAATTGGCAGTGCAAATCGAAAACAGGTAAACTCAATATAATTTTCAATTTTGCTTGCTAAAAACTCTTTCATAATTATTAAAATATTTTTCAAATAAGACTATTTGTCATATAAATAAAGGAAAACTATAAAAATACCTAAATTGATAACATGTTTTGCTAAAATCGTAGGGTGGCTTTTTCACCCCACCAGGTGGTGCAAAAAAGCCACTTACAGTGCTTTCGTAAAACTCTTATAACTTAGTCCTTTCATGAGATAAAAAATATTTCCGTCAAGAATTTTTAAGCTTAATAACTAAACTTTCAATAACAATTGGAAATTTGTGAAAAAAATTTTAAATACAGATTTTACAGCATCAAAAGTAAAAATGTGGCTTTTTTACCCCACTCTACCCTATTCATTAAATAATTTCTAAGTAATAATTTTATGATAATTCTTCAAGAATTAAATTATTTAAAAAGAAATTATTGTCAGAAATAGAAAAAATTGAAGGTTTTGTATTATAATTCTTGTCACTTTCATAGTTTAAGAGGCAAACAAAAAGAACACCAAAATTCAAAATTTTCTTATAAATTCTCAAAATTTAATTTTTTCCAGTACTTTTAATAAAAAAAACCCTGACTTTTCCCTGATTTCCCTGGCCAATTCTAATTTCCCTGACTTTTCCTGAATTCCCTAACCTGTGGCAACCTTGCATAATAAATAAATAAATATAGAACTAAAAAAATAAAATTACACCTCTTCAATTTCAAAAAACAATTTAACCCAATCCAACTACCCTAAATTGCAAAAGCAGGGAACTATGTCACTAGTTTCCTCTAACTGAAAATCCAACTAAACCAAATAAAGAAGAATTATTTGCCTCTTTTATCGAAAATACGATTTCGTCACTAAATTTTTCATTGCTAATGGTATGAACGAGAGAGAGAGAGTAGCAAGAGTATTTTTTTTTGCTACCAAAAAAACGGGGTATAAGGAGGGAGGACAAATTGTTTGTCAGAGAGGGAGGAAAAAGGGGGTGGCGAGTGTGTATAGAAAGGAGATGGAGGAAATGGAATTCTGTGTGCGGTCGTTTTCGCAGTGTCTAGTCTTTTTTTGAGAAAATTGTATATAGAATATAGACGTAGGGCAAGCGACGCCCACGATGACGCCGAAGCAGGGGTTAGCTGCGCGAAAATGTCAGACCACTAGTCGTTTTACGATACACCCACGCTCGAAAAACTAGGACAAAGTCGATTCATTCATTCCTCTGATTCATAGATGTAAAAGAGTTCAAGACAGAAGGGGGTGTGTAATACACAGACTTCCTCAATCCATAAACAAAATTGAAGCGATACAATCTCATGAGAGATTGACTCCTGGAAAATGTTACCGGTCCGACTTCAAAGTATTTCCAAAATTTAATTATTTTCGTGTTCTCAATATTCGGCTAAGAGTGGGGCCTGGCGGGTTGAATCGCGGGGTCGATGAAAAGTGCGATTGATTAATTTATTAATTGACTTTCGCAATTCATCGACACGGGATCAACAGCGGCTACGCTCTCACGTGCCGGCCGAGGACACGGAAGGTAGTTTTTTTTTTAAATTCAAATTTATTTAAAAATTCAGTTTATTATTTTTTGTTTTGTAAAATATGTGTTTCTTTTTGTGTTAAATATAAAGTGTGGCCGTTAATGACCATTGGATACGGATTTAATAAAATGAAGATATTTATTTATAATATTGGACGAATATGGTGACTTGGAAGTCGGAACCGGTCGGGAAACCAAAATCTTCCTCAACAGAACGAGTATTCTTTGCCAACTGTTGGGTGACTCGTAAGTGCACGACCGTAATTAATAAAGTGGCCCTGGAGATTTCAGGTCCACAAATTTATAAATCTTGATAATTAAAATAAAATTATTATTTAAAAATGTCTATGTCTGATGGTATAAAAGAAAGAGAGTGATTTTAGTCGTGTGATGAATTGCGAATTATTCTTTTTAATTATTTTGTTTATTAATTTATTATTTTGATTGATTTCTTTTTAAATATTGTTATTTGGATGTGCGTATGTTTGTGTGTCTATTTGTCATTTTATTTTCTATACTTGTATAAATCCCTGACGTCAGGCCTATTTGAATTAAACTTTTGACGGAAATACACATTTTATTTCTTTTTGTAAATTATTTGTGTGTTTATTAATCGAGTATTTTGTATTTTGTGCAATTTCATGGTTTTATTTTATTATTTTAAATTCTGTGTTTTATAATTTTTATTGTTTTTTGTATTTTGTATTGTCGCGGTTTTTATTTATTTTCATGAAATAAGAAAATCGTTACAAAATTTTCAAGACATTCCGCGCCCCTAATTTCAAATCAATTTTTCATTCCCCCATTTTTCAAGAAATTTTCAAGATGCTTTAGCGGGCGTTTATTTGCCTTCTATTTTCTCCATTCCCCCGGATCTTATGAATCTTATTATACACTATTTATCATTTCTCCACCCCCCTAATTCTCTCTTATACCAAAGTACATATATCAGGGTTATCACGAAAATTTGATTTTTCTTTTCTATATGCAACTTTTCTCTGATTTTATGACAGAATTTTGACTTGTTGTCCGATCCTTAATCTCTAAAATTGAATCAGTGAAAGTCTGACTTTTATAGTGACTCTGTTCTCACGATTTTAACCAGTAAAATTTCACTAAAATTTCACTCTAAATCTAAATTAGTAGAATTCTACTAACTAACGGTAAAATTTTACTAATTAGTAATTTTCATAGACGACTTTTCTCCTTTTGGATTAGTAAAATATTACTAATTGTTAGTGAAATTTTATTAATTTTTAGTGGGATTTCACTAATTGATAGTTATCTAATTCACTAAATAAATTAGTAAAACTGTTTCATCGACAATTAACAAAAACAATTCTACTAAATTGTTCGTAATAATTTTATTACCAATTAGTAAAATTCTATTAAGAATTAGCAAAATTTCACTAATTACTATATTTTATTTTCCTGATTTTTTCCTAATTTTCCTCGCAAAAATATTTGTTTCTTTCTTAACCTGCTAATAAATTGAATTCCTGCAACGAATTTTATAATTCATGACAAAATTTAAATATTTATAAAAATAATTTTATTCTTGTGAAGAATTCTATAAAAATTTTTAAATAATTAATTTCTTTCGACTAATTTTGTTCAAATACGAATTTAAATAACTGCATTCCTAAGAAATTTTTATTATTCATGAAAAGAATGGAAATCTTACGAAGAATTTTACAAAAATTTTTTTAAATAATTGAATTCTGTTTGAAAATTTTCGGAAAATAGTAGATATTGAAAATCATTGAATTGCGAAAAATTTTTTTAAAAAATTAAATTTTACAAACAATTCTATTGAAATTTATGATAATAATTTTTTTTTATGAAAGAAAATTGAATTTCCATAAAGGAATTGATTACTTTTAAAAATAATTGAATTTCTGTAAAAGAATATTGTTATTTATGAAAATAATTGAATTTTTCATAGAATTTTATTAAAGTGCCTCAAAATAATTGAATTTTCGGGAATAATTTTGTTAGTTATCTTTAATAATTGAATTCTTTCGAAGAATTATTTATGTAAATAATTGAATACTTGGGAAGAATTTGATTAAAATCTAAAAGAATAATTGAATTATTTCAAAAAAATTTAATTAACATTTTATCTAAAATAATTGATTTCTTTCGAACAATTCTATTAAAATATTTAAAAATAATTGAATTCCTATGAAAAATTCTAATATTTTTGTAAATAACTGAATTCTTCAAAAGAATTTTAAAAAAACATTTTTTTAAATAATTGATTTTTTCGAGGAATTGAAATTAAAGTTTTAAGAATAATTACATGTTTTGAGCAATTCCTGTAAAATTGTATTAAAAATAATTAAAACTCTGCAATGAATTTTAGTATTTATAAAAATAATTGAATTATTGCAAAAAATTTTATTAAAATGTTTTAATAATGATTTGAATTTTTGAGAAAATTTTTTTTTTAAATTGAAATAATTGAAATCTTTATAAGAATTTTATTAAAATTTTTAAAAAGAATTGAATTTTCGTGAAAAAATTTGTTATTTTTAAAAATAATTGAATTCTTCATAAGAATTTTATAAACAATGTTTCAAATAATAAATTTTTTCGAAATGTAATAAATATTATGAAAATTTTATTTTAAATAATTGAATTCTTGTTGAAAACTTTATTTATGAAAATAATTGAATTTTGGATGAATTTTATCAATTTATTTTTTAAATAACGCAAAAAAGTAGTAAAAAGTAGGTTTTAGTAGATGAATTCGAAGCCTGCAATAATAATAATATAATTATACTAATTATATAATTTTACTAACATTTAGTAAAATTCTAATAAGAATTAGCAAAATTTCACTGATTTATAGTAAAATTATTACTAATAATAATAAAAATAATAATATAATTATACTACTAATTTGACAAAATTCCTGATTCCCCTGACCAATTTCAATTTCCCTAATTTTCCTGACCTACGTCAACCCTGATTATATGAATGAACTCTCTAGCCACACATTTTTGGCAGAGACGTACATTAAAAACAAATTTCCACAATTTAATTTCCGAATTTTCATCCAATATTGAAAAGAAAGAAGTAGAAGAAGAAGAAAAAGAAAAAGAAAAAAAACTGCTGTAAATTTAAAAAGTTTTCTTTTACTCTTGGGACGTATAAATGAAAATGATGGGTCAAACGATGTGCAACCAAAGTGTCCGGAAACCGCTGAAGAGACTACTTGCTTCCATCTCCGTTTGAATATCCTGTTAAATACAATACGTCTGCTATTTCTGGCTGCGAGCCATTGTCGATAACCTCCACTCTGTTGGCGAACGATGACAAGAATAGAACTTACTTTTCTTTCCCTTTTTAAAAGGATTTCTCTGTCATTTCATTGCCTAATTGTCAAATTAGCCAAGACTTCATTTATTCATCTAAAACCTGCCATTTTTTTCCACTGCTTTTTTCTACCTTTTCCCCTTTTTATACTTTTGGTACTGTTTTAATTTTTTAAAATAGTTTTTAATTTTTGATAAATTTAAAAATTTTTTTGATACAATTTTGTTTTGTTTTAATGACTTTAATTTTTTTCTATACTTTATTTTTCTAATGCTTTTTTTACGTTACAGCCAAATAAAAAATAAATCCATGACTCAGAAAAATAATAAACAATTCGAGATCAAATGCACGTGGTATAGAGTGAGTTTCAAAGAAAAGCCTATATGAAGGAATGCGAGTGAACTCGGACCGTATTGAGTCAGACCACAGCAAGTGAGCCAAGTAAGCATAAAATAAACGACTCTACGCACGACTCACGCAGTCTAACACACGTACTTACAAATAATAATGCAATTCTACCTATAGCACGTTACAACTTGAACCAAGTGTATTACTAAGAAGAAAGTAAATGGAATGAATATGAGAACAAGAAAATGAGATGTTGCAATTGCCGCACTATCAATGTCAACCAAGTAAATTAATGTAAATTGAAATATTTACGAATATCGCCACTATATATTTATACAAAAACAACAAAAAACAACATTTACCATAATAGTAATAAATTAATGTGAAATTATTTGACACGCTTCCTGCTACATTATAATATTGTGCCTACATATTTCTAGACAAAATATAGAAATTTTTCTTCTAGACTAAAAACACGTTGTGTTGCATTATAATACACTTGATACGATACTACACACAGTATATATTAGCAAAAAAATATGTATACATATATAAAAAAAAATATAATATATACATATTTTAAAAAAATATACATATCAGGGTTGACACAAATATTTATTTTTCCCTGATTTCCAGACAAAATTTTCATTTTTTCCCTGACACTAAAAAATATTCTGATTCACTCTAAAAATTATTAGATACTCAAAAAAATGTTCTATTACATTTATTTACAAATTTCTTTAATTGTAAAATTATTCAAAAACAAAACTTCTTTTTTCAATAAATATTTAATAATTATTTTCTCGTAGGAATTAAAATTCTTGAACACATTCAAATTCAAACCTTTTTGAAATCCAACAACTTGTAATAATTTAAATTACCAAAAAAATTTTTCAAAAAAATGTTAATTGTTTACAAAAATCCTAATAAAATCCTTCGCAAGAATTCAATTATTTTTACAACAGGGTGTTTTGTTAGATTAAAACAATTTTTTATTCACAATTATCAAAAATTATCAAATATTCGAAAAACCGAATATCTTAAAATTCAACTTTTTTCCTTATTTTTTATGGCATTTAGCTTCATTATTTTTGGGCTCTTCAAAAATACTTTACTTATTTAGTAGTCTCCACCCTTTGGAAAAAAATCTAAAACTATTAAAAATTATCAAAAATTAGAAAAACCGAATTTCTTAAAATTCAACATTTTTTCTTCTTTTTTATAGAAAATATTGAGAAAATAATTCCCTTACTTTTTACTAATTTTATTTCTGATTTCTTGGGACAAAAATATGGTGACATATTTAATAATAAATTAATATCTAATGATAAAAACAAACGATAGTAAAAATGTTCTAAGTTTTGTTAGATTAAAAAAATTGTTTATTCACAAAAATTTTAATTTTTGTTTAAATTTTTAGAAGTTTTCCTGACTTTCAATTAAATTCTCTGACATTTCCTGACTATTCCCTGACCTGTGGCAATTTTTTTCAGATTTGGAATGAAAATCAGAAAAAATAGAAATATATAATAATCATGGAGGCATAAAAATTTATGTCTTGACGTGTATGTCCTTGAAAACGTGCATCCATTTAAAATTCACGTTCATGCAATAAAGTATATATTATATTTCGTAAGAACGCATTTGCGGTTGTTTACCAAGTAGAAGCGACCTGTGCGAGAAATGAACATGGTATACAATAATGACACCAATTCCACTCGAGGTGTTGCAATTCCTTTTATCTATAAGATTCACGAGAGATAAACTCCTCCAATCAATAATCGAAAACTTACAATTATTTTCCAAATATAATATATTTAAGTCCGAGAGAAAATGGTCAAAGATTTTTTAAACGTTAAAAAAAGCAGGAATAATAATAATTGAATTTTTTCGAGGAATTTAAAAAAAATTTTTAAGAATGATTAAATTTTTCAAGGAATTCGATTAAAATTGCATTAAAAATAATTGAAATTCTATGATGAGTTTTATTATTCATGAAAATAATTAAATTTCTATAAAAAGTGTTATTATTTATGAAAATAACTGAATTAAGAAAATTGAAAAATTTTTTGAAAATAATTGAAACTTTTTAAAAATTCATTGGCCAACTCTCTCGAAATATAAATATTTTGCAAATTTGAAAAAATGACTATGTAACAATATACACCGAAAAAAATTTATTTGATTCAAATAAACGAGTAATTGTCTATATCAAATATTTATTTGTACCAAATGATTATTTATTTTCAGCAAATAATTTTTAATTAAATGAATTAAATGATAATTGCTTGAAATAATAAAATTGTTGGTTCAAATAGGTGCAATTTATTTGATTTAAATAACAATTATTTGATTCAAGTAAAGATTTGTTTAAGAATATATGCAAGTAACAAGTCAGTTGAATTAAATAAATTTTATTTTCAGTGCAAAAACTATTGTTACAGATTTTTAGTTTTAATAATTTAAAAAAATGTAATTTCATGATTTAAAAAAATATAATTTCATAATTTAAAAAAATGTAATTTTATAATTTCATGGGGGAGGTCAAAAATGGTCAAAATAGTGTGACGAATGGATAGCCCCTTCGGTCTTTAGAATTTTTAACTCAAATTATCCAAAATTTCAAAAAAATTTTATTTCAATCATTCAGAAATAATAATTTTTTAAAATTGGAAACGATAAATTTTAAAGTGAATTGCTCTATTTTTAGCCGAAGGAAACTACAAAAAGTAGTGACGAAAAATACTAATTTTTAAAATAGTTCCATTGAATTGAAAATAATTATTATTAATCAAAACTAAAGTGCTCTGAATAGAAAATGTTCCTAACAATTTCTTTAAAATTAGCTATTATTTACCTTTAAAAAAATTCCATTAACTTTGCATTCCCGAATTGTATTGATGTTGAGGAACATATTGTTGATCATGATGAATTAGACCCTAAAGAAATCTGTAAAGAATACACGCACAGTAAAAATTAAATCTTATTTTAAGGCAAGACTATTTCCCTTAAAATAAGATTTTGTTCTTACAGTCAACAAACAAGTACAATGTGATAATAATACAAACATTGTAAACAACATAGTGACAAAAAAGAAATAAATAGAAAAGTAAATATTACTGGTCAGTCCAGTAACTATGACTCAAATTGCACTGGAACTCCAGTTATTGAAATACACAATCGCAGCAAAACTTTAACGATTATTTCAGTACCGGCTTTAGGGCAGTGTGCAATTATACTTGCGTTAGAAGACGCCTTAATTACACAATGGCTGTGAGAAAACTTTTTTTTCTCTATTTGGGGAAAGATGCCACTGTATTTTCCACACAGACAACGCAAAAGTGATTAAAGCCGGCACTTCCTCAATTTTCTACCTACCCCTTGCTATTTCTAAACGCGGAATCTATTTCAAACATACTTGCAATAAATTTACCCCCCACCTTATACCTGAAAATTCCTAAATTTTATTAACAAAATGAAAAAATTAAATTTTTTTATGCAAATATAATACGTTCACTCTACGATCATCTTTCATGCCGCCAAGGTGCAAAAAGCCTACACTAGGGATAAAGGGGCACGTTAGGCTCACCCATACGTCCCGGGACGCATCCGTCACCTTAGCTCAAAAATCACTCAAAAAAAGGAAAACAAAATTCCTGAAAGAAATGATAAATTAAATTTTTAAATGCCATTTTTAAAAATTCTACTTTTAGCAATTAGTTAAAAATAAAAAAAACTATTAATTAAAACAAAAGAATCGAATAAAACGATAAATAATTGATTAAAACAAAACAATTCAGTCAAATATTAAATAATTGAATAAAACAAAAGAATTGAACGAAACATCAAATAATTGAATAAAACAAAACAATTGAATGAAGCAATAAATAACCCAGTAAAACTAATAATTAAATAAAACATGAAGTAATTGAATAACAATGTCATATACTGAACTAGAAAAATAAATATTGCAAAGAATTTTAAAATTAATATTTATTACTAGAGATAAAATTATTTTTTAAATTTCAAATTTACTTCTGATTACTTTTTATAAAACGGAAAAAATTTATTTTGAATTATATTAAAAATAGCAAAAGAGTAAAAATTAAATCTTATTTTAAGATAGGGATAAAAATTAATTGAGTCTTGAAACTAAGATTCGTCTCAATTTAAAATCAAAATTGTGTGAAAATAAATTATATTATTATAAATTAAAAAATAAATTATATATTAAATAAATTATAGTTCTTAAACAATTCAAGTAACTGAATTTCCAAAGAATGTAAAATTATTATCTTAATTTGACATAAACTCTTTTAAATTGAACACAACACAAAGCTAATGACTTTAGAAATTATCTTAATTTAATAAATTAATTAATTATCTTAAATTCGACACATTAAAAGAGCTAAAAATCAGCATTATAAATCAATTCTGAAAATCAATAATGACTGCCTTAACAATATTGCAAATTGAAAATAAGACTTCCCTCAAAATAAGATTTACTTTTTACACAAATAATGAAAATTAAATAATCAAAATGACATAAACATGTAAACAATAAAAAAAACATTGACAATAATATTATTTACGTAGTAACAGAAAATACTAGAAAATAATAAAATTTGTCAATGGCGTCACTATGTTGTTTTTTGTGTCTTCCCTGTTTCTAAACATTTAAGCAGTCAACAATATATTAAACAAAACAATAAAATAAATTAACTTTAAACAAAATGATATATTTAAAGAGAAAGAACAAGAAAGTTCAACAAGAAATTCAATAGTTGAAAATTGAATCAAAAAAATTTCTATGTATTTCTTAATAATTGAATTTCAATAATAAATAATTCATTAAGTGATTTGAAAGTTCTGAACGTTCAATTTATTTTTTCTCCAAATTAAGATTTTATTTCAATAATTTTGCATCACTGTTAAAAAAAGTTAATTATAAATTTTCTAAATGTAAAATTTTAGATTTTAATTTTATTGCAAACGGTAATTTATGAAAATATTTTAAATTTAAAAAAATTTCATTCATTTGAAAGTTAAAAACTTTTGGATCATTTAGTTAACGAAAGAAACTCAAATATTTGTCAAAACAGGGAAGAGCTTAATTTAAGAACCACTTGCTCATTAAACGGCGACTCCCACGTTGGTCGATGGATGCTTTGCCATCGCAACCTCCTCTACAGAAAAATGGGTGATGTGTCCAGGGGTGTCCAACAAAAATTGGGAAAAAATTCTCTGCCTTGCCTTGCACGGTGAATCCACTTACGTAGTCCGGGTGTCCTCCTTCTCATCCTCATCCTTCCTTTTTTTCCTTCAACTTCTTCTTCTTCTTCGAAAATGAACTGAAAAAAAATAATTTATTAAAAAGAAATTAAATTATTTGAAACATTTTAGTAAAATTACTTTTGATTTAGTACAATTACTTTTATTAAATATTTAAATCTATTTTTATTAATTATTAAAATTAATCAATCAAATTTATATTTCCGTAAGATTTAGTATTGAAAATAAACTCACTATTAGTAATCAACGCCTGGTGATGAATAAAAACGATGACTGCAACCTTTCTCCAGGAATTTTTATTTTCCTCCTCCAAGAAATCCAGAAGCAATAAGGAAAAAATGCCTCAAGTGAGACATCAGTGCATGGGCTGATGCATTGCAAGTTTGAATGCAATAAAAGACAGTTAGGAATTTGGTTAAATTTCATGAATTGAAATTTTTTGAGCAACTGCGTGCTCCAAACTGATTGGACATAACCTACAAAAATGTCTAATGTCAATAATCGTTAATTTATTAATTATTATAGTTAATATAATTAGTGCTTTAAAATAATATCATTAACTGTTGTTAATTGTAATTATCATGTTGTTAATATACTGAACATTTCTATCCTTTCTCAATTATGTCCAATTTAAAAACAAAATTATTGTAAATTATAATAAATAATACCATAAGTAATTTAATTTTAAATTAAATTAAATAATTATTATATTTAAATAATTATTAAATTATTATAATTATTAAATAATTAATTATAATTATTATGTTAATATAGGTACTAAACATTTCTATCCTCGATAAATTATGTCCAATTTGGAAACAAAATTATTGTAAATTATGATAGAATTATAGCATTAGTAATTAATTAAAATTTAATAATTATAATTAACTATTGTTAATTATATTTATGTTAATATACTAAACATTTCTATCCTTATTCTCAATTATGTCCAATTTAGAAACAAAATTATTATAAATTAGGTATAATAGATGATAGCATTAGTAATTTAATTAAAATTTAATAATTATAATTAACTATAGTTAATTATATGGTTTTACGTTGTATTGTTATGTTAATATACTAAACATTTTTATCATTCCTAAATTATATCCAGAAAATGTTACACACAATCTCCGAAAAACAGATCAATACATTTTGAGGTTAGAAATTAATGAACGAAATTTTAATCATAAAAATTATGAATAATTATCCGAAAATTAACGAATTTGATTCACAATTCTATAAAATTAGTTGAAAATTACAAAACTTGCAACATAATAGTTGATTACTTTGAATATAAATAGAAATTATTACGATCCCCTCCCAACAATCGTAAGAGAAACGTACAATTGACAGATTTAATAGTTTAGGAAAGTTGCAACCCTGCCACGTACAATTTATTTCGCACTCCTTCCACGATTCATAGAACAAATAATTATACAACTCTTACCTAGCTTGGATCCGCAAATGTTTGTTTCTTCCACTGATATGATTGCACTGTAGGAAAGCGAAACTTCTCCGTCCGCCATTTGCTTATCTGTAATCACATTCAACGAGAGAAAATCAATAACGAAAATCAATGAAAACGAATAATATTCAGTATACTTGTACTAAATTCATTACAAGATTGGTTAAATATGAATAAAAATAATAAATAATACAAATAATGGTATTATTATTTTACAATGATTTTTATTTCAATCAGCGAAGAATGTGATTTCCTTCATGTCGGAACGAAAAAAAAATGCTTTTTCAAGTTACACAAGTACCACAAGTGTAAAAAATAATTATACTTGGTAGTTATTATCGTATTATCGAAACATTTATTTACAAAGCGCAAGGACTGTAGAAAAGCAGACATATTTACCACAGCTTGATGTCAGGACAACGCAGCCAATCAGCGAGTAGCATGGAACACTTGGTATGAAAGAAAGAAATTTCTTCGAGTTGCGCAGATCCTCCGTCGTGAAGCGCCAAATGCGATGTGCCGGAACGTGCGAAAACGTCGCCTATTTACGTGGCTGGGGACAAAGGCGGCTAAGCCAATCAGAAACTCCGGCGCTTTCTGATTGGCTGCGCGCTCCTGAGCTTCAGCTACAGGGGCCAGGCGGCCACATAAATACTCGCCGCGTTCGCTGTTCTTGCAGCAGATGGCACTTAGCGCTACACAACGGAGGATCTATGCAACTTGAAGACTTTTTCTTTCTTTAGGCTGCGTCGACAATAGAAAAAAATAATGTGTAATTTGCAGTGTAATGTGTATTGTTTTTGGCATTGACAACTGTCAGGGGCAATTACACTATATATTACACAATTTTCTACACATTATTTTTTCTGTTGTAGACGCAGCCTTACAGGTTTTTCAATGCTGCTTTCTGATTGGCTGCGCTGTCTCAACAACAATCTGCAGTAAATATTGTCTGCTATTTTTCAGTGTTTTTGCATTTTCACGCAGTAATTATTTCAATAATTAGTAAACTTGTGTCTTGTACATCGTAAAAACATATCTTTTCGCACAATTTGAAACAAGATTTGCTCTAATTTACTTCAATATATGTAACTGAATAATTATTTCCATAATTATTTCTACAAATACTACTGAATATTATCAATAGTTTTGTCGATTGACAAATACGAAAAATAAAACATAAATATAAGTAAAAATGTCAACAATTATAAAAAAACGAAAAATCTACAAGAAGTAAACGTTCTTTTTTCGCAAGTATCGAGAAAATTTAAGAGTGAGTATTTTCAGAATAAAATGTTTTAAAGAAAAATCTGACACTCTAAACGAAACTTAGTTCAGTGTCATAGTTTATCGTATTTCGTAAGAAATATAAATTAAATTTCATATTCGTTTTGGTAAAAGGTAATAATTTAACTTTTTAAACAAGGAAAAGTAGTTTTTCGAATAATAATTACAATTGTTTTTGTCAAGTGTCAACAAGAAGCATTTGTTGATTTGTAGGTTATGTTGTGTTTTGGTGGAAGAGTAATTATGAAATTAATTTCAAACAATTAAAAGTTTCATTTGCAGGCTTCACACTCATCTTATACTAAAACCTACTATTTACTACTTTTTTTATAAAAAATAGGTATTTTCAATATCTAGTATTTTCATAAAATTACCTAAAACAATTAATTTTTAAAAAAATTGATAAAATTCATCTAAAATTCAATTCTTTTCATCAATAATAAAACTCATCGAAGAATTTCAATTATTTTGAATACAATTTTAAATTAATTAGTAGAAAAATTCAATTATTTTCACAAATAAAATTATCCACAAGAATTCAATTATTTAAAATAAAATTTTCATGATATTTATTATATTTCGGAACAACTAATTATTCAAAAGAAAGTTTATAAAATTCTTATTAAGAATTCAATTATTTTTAAAAATAACAAAATTATTCACATAAATTCAATTCTTTTTAAACATTTTGATAAAATTTTCCCAATAATTCAATTATTTACATAAATAATAACATTATACTCTGGAATTCAATTATTTTTGAAAATTCTAATAAAATCCATAGCAACTATTCAATTATTTTCATAAATAATAAAATTCATGGCAGGATTTCAATTATTTTTAATCCAATTTTACGGGAATTGCTAAAAAAATGTAAATATTCTTATTATAACTAGTCGAAGCCATAAACTGAAGAAGAAGAAGAAGATTATTATTTAAATTATTTAAAAAAAGGTTTTTTTAAATCTTTAGAAAAATTCAATAATTATTTCTAAAAATATTAGTATTTTTCACTGGAATTCAATTATTTACAAATATTCTAATAAAATTGTTCGAAAGAAATCAATTATTTTTAAAAGTAATAAAGTTTTTCTTAAATATTCAATTATTTTTAAAAATTCTAATAAAATCATTTGCAAGATTTTCAATTATTTTTAAAAATAATATAAAATGCTTGTTAAGAATTCAATTATTTTCAAAAATTTTAGTAAAATTTGTTGCAAGAATTCAATTATTATTAATATAATAAAATTCTTCTAAGAAATTTAGTTATATTTAAACTTTTTTTTATAAAATTCGTGTAAAAAATTCAATTATTGTCAAGATTTTAATTCAATTATTTTCATACATTACTTTCAAGATTACACTTTAATTATTTTGTAGAAACTAAAATTCTTCTCTTAATTCTTAATTCTTCTCTTAATATTTTCTTGAAAAAGTTCCTTAAAAATTCAATTGTTTTAAAAAAAGTTAACATAAATCTAAAATATTCCTTGAATCGAAATTCTCATAAAACTCTTTGCTTAAATTCAATTATTTTCAAAAATTATACAAAGATTCTTTGAGAGAATTGAATTATTGTCAAAGTTTTAATAGAATTCTTTGTAAAATATAATTATTATTATAATTATTTTTAAAAACTTTTCGCAATTCAATTATTTTCAATATCAACTATTTTCATAAAATTTCCAAACATAATTCAATTATTTAAAAATATTTTTGTAAAAATCTTCGTAAGAATTAATTCTTTTCTACTTTTTTAAAATTAATTACTTATTGAGTGCTAAGTCTGTATTTTTCCTACTGTTTGTCGAAACCGTGATTACTTCATAAAATTGCTCTGCTTTCGATTCTTTCCAGGTAAAAAGGTAAAAACATTTTGAAATAGAATTCCTCAAATGTATACAACATTTGACAGATGATGTTAATAATTTCGTTGATCCTGTTTATAGGTAAAAGAAAAAAAAATGAAATAGAGAGCGAGAAAGAAACCTATGAGCAGAACAAACACACTTTTTGTGCTACAAAACCCGTTACTTTGATTAAAGAAAAAGAGGCGGAATCTTCGATGAGACTCTCGGCACAGGAAAGGTCGCAGTTCGAAGAACAAGGATTCGTACGATTTGGTTATGAATTATTGAACGTGCGTCTGAGTTATCGTAAAACTATATTAAATCAAATTTTAATCAATGCGGCTCGCGCCATCGTACTAATTAAATTTTTTACCAAGTTCATTTATAAATCTTTCAGTGAGAAACTGTCAGAAACCGCCAACGATTACTTTATGGAAAAAAACTGCGCCTTATATCATCAAATTAATTAAATATGGAAAGCGCCTAGTTTCTCTGCGTGCATATAAATTACACATCATCAAAAAAAAGGTAATTTCGAAAAGTTTTGAAAATTCATAATTAATTTTTGCCCGTAAAATAGCAGTAGTAATAATAATAATAATTGTCAGAGGAAGAAATGGAATCGATAACACTTTCACTTAACCTTTTTGGCACAGGTTTCGTTTCATGTAATTTATAATTCTTTAAATAATACGTTCCATTTGTGTATGGTGACAAATATATTCATTGTGAATTTTTGCGCTTCTTTAAAGGAATAAAAAGCACGTGTCAATTTATAAATCTGAAGTGAGAACTACTTTTGTGTATCAAATGCCTTTGGTGAGTTGATGACAACACATTCAGGTGGTAAAAAAAAGGAAACAGAGTAACAAAATCTTTTGTACTAAAATGTGAACGTGTCGACAAAGAAGTGCTCGTATTCAGTTGCTTCTTTTGATGATACCCAACGATTCATATGGTAATCGCGCCTAACTGGGAGGGAGGTCACTCTGCTTTTATTAAGGGCAATAACATACACAAATTTTATTAGTTCTTCTGTCATTTAAATTCCTGAATTCAAATTTTCAATCACAAATTTTGAAGCAAATATTTCTGAATTCAAATTTTTAATCACAAATTTTAAAACACATATTTCTGAATTCTAGAGAAAATCAAATTAAATTGAATTAAATTAAAATTTTCAAAAATTTTAATTTCAATTACATAGAAGAATATTATTATAAAACAAGATATCGATCACTCCGAGTCTTCGACTCGGAGTGATCGCTGTCTTCATGTTTTATAATAATTAAAACTTCACACTATCGTTACTTTATATTATAAAAATATTGTTACTGTAATTTCTTCAAAATTATATTCATTTCAATTCAATTCTTCATTTCTGGAATTTTAAACTAAAATTATTTTTTATAACAATTTTTTTTAATAATTTTTGAAAAAGTTCTTCTTTGAGAATTTTTAAATCCATTTGTTTACAATTCAATTTTACCTAAACTTTCGATTATTCTGACATTCTTCAATTAAATAAATTAGAAATTAAAAACTTTAAATAATTGAAAAAAAAATTCCATTAAACTTTTTGAGAAAAATTAATTCTAAATTACCTTAAAAATCTTGTCAACAATTTAATTATTTTTATAGATAATAAAATTATTCGCATGAATTCAATTATTTTAAAAAATTTTGAATAAAATTCTTCGAAATAATTCAATTATTTTTAAAATTGACAAAATTCTTCCCAAGAATTCAATTATTTTCAAAATTGATAAAATTCTCTGCAAGAATTCAATTATTTTCAAAAATGATAAAACTCTTCGTAAATATTCAATTATTTTCAATATTAATTTTTACGTAATTTTGATTATTCTGACATTCTTCAATTAAATATATATTAGAAAATAAAAACTTCAAGAAGTAAAGAAAAATTCAATTAAACTTTTTTAAAAAATAAATTCTACAGAATTGTTAATTAAAAGTAGGAAAAGTTCAAATTTTCTAAAAGATTTTAATTTAAAACATTTTCAAAATTCAATTATTTCTAAAAATTTACGCTATATTGCTTTCAATATTCAATAATAATCTAAAATTTTAACTGAAATTCATTTTTAAATCAATATTCATAGAAAAATCCACGAGAATTCAATTATTTAAGTACAAAAATAAATATTTTATTAAATAATTGAATGCTTCTTAAAATTGAATTTTTATAAAGACTTTTATCAACAAATTTTTAAATAATTGAATTCTCTTGACAAATTTTAATAAAATTTTTAAGAAAAAGTTTATTTTTCGGAAATTTGATTAAAATTTTATTAAAAATAATTGAATTTCTCCAAAGAGAAAAGATTTTTTGAAACCTTT